GCGACACTGACCCACCGAGTGCATTACAGGAGTAATTATTAAATACATAAACACTGAATATTCTGTCAGCAGAAAGACAACAATCCATTATACAGTTTAGAGACATAAATATTAGACAAAAAGAATGATTAAAAATGACAAATCACAATCAAGTATTATATAGGGACCAGAAATCAATTAATTAATTAATGAATGGAGAGTGTTATGATTATATTTCAAATTTATATTTCAATTTTAAAGTTCTTTATTTGCATGATTGTGGTTACATACAATATTGACAAAAAGCACTATACACAAAACAAGATTTTTTTTTCATAATATGTTATATATAATTAAATATGTTAAAAAATATATAAATAATATTATAAATGTTAAATATAAATATATTATACATTGAATAATAATATCTATATATAAGCATATATATATATATATATATATATATATATATATATATATATATATAATTTATATAACTATATTAACAAATAAACAAACATTACATATATATATATATATAATATACTATTATAAATATTAAATAATTATATATATATATATATATATATATATATATATAATATTCATATGTATAAAATCAGATCTGTGGAGTGGTACTATGGTACAGTGATGGTATGGTTCATCTATATACAATGGTACTGATTTATAATCTTAATCAGATGTTTACACTGTATATAAACTGTCCAAAAACATGGTAATATCACAATTCCTCTAGTATATTGTTTTGACAACATATTAAAGCAACTCTGAACATGTTATAGCTTCACAACAGAAGGCGAAAACCATTTACAAATCAACACTTCCGTTTCCAATATAATCAATACTGTGATCAATCACAGAGCGAGTGTGTGTTCAGTGACAGTGACTGATGTCATCATGTGTCCTGCTGCTGCACCTTATTAAAACGCATCATTAATTAAACCCTGTGATCCTGATTACACACCAGGTGCAGAGACGGCCTCGCGCCGGCCTGTGATTGGACACAGCGGGTCACATGATGTCTGAGTGCACTCACGCCGGCCTGTGATTGGACACGGCGGGTCACATGACGTCTGAGTGCACTCACGCCGGCCTGTGATTGGACACGGTGGGTCACATGACGTCTGAGTGCACTCACGCCAGCCTGTGATTGGACACGGCGGGTCACATGACGTCTGAGTGCACTCACGCCAGCCTGTGATTGGACACGGCGGGTCACATGACGTCTGAGTGCACTCGTACTGACCTCGTCTCAAATGATATTAACATTCATTTGATACTCGAGGAGACGATAAACACTGAGACCGAGTCAAAGGAAACCACATTTACACACCGTCAACGGATGCATTAATTCTAGAGAGATTTCCTAAACGCTCTTCATGTGTCGGTCAAAAATTCAATTAAAAAATTGTACTATATTTTAGTTTGATAATGTTTTTTATTTAATATTTTGTATTTTTAGGGGATTTTAGGGTACTAAATTATATTTACGCAGTATTTTTTAATCCATTTATTCACGTTTTGAGCATAGACCTGAAAACTTAATTTCCAACTTAAACTGTGGTTTGAAACTCTTTTCAAAGACGACACATGGCAAATTATTACTAAAGAGAAAATGTTTTAAAAAGTGAACTTAGAAAAGTTACAGAATTTTACGTTTATTGTTATGAAAAATACTATTTTAAATTTTCATATGAAATATTTATTTTCAAAAACCTTTTACTCTAAAACTGTGAAAAAATCAAAGCCATAAATCTAAACAAGCTGTGTTCCAAATGTGAGGCTGATATCTCAGTAAACGAGCGTTCAGTGAGAGTGTGTTCGGCTGCAGTTCCACACGCTTCCACTAGAGGAAACTCTCATTTCTGACCACAGGAGCACAAGTGGGACTATTGTTTACAGCACCATTTAACCTGTTTTTTTTGTGTTCATATAGCAAGTGCCAAAACCTTTACCAAGTTTCGTACCATTCCAATGAAGTAAAAAAACAAAAAAACAAAAAAATGTAATGTCTTTCGGACCGAAGCTTCAAGCTCAACATCTAGTCAGGGAATGTCACATGGTCAGAAAAATGAGGCACAAAAGTTCCTACACACTCCAGCAAGCCCGGCGTGTTCGGCCAATCCCATGACATGGTAAATGGTGAATGGACTGCATTTATATAGCGCTTTCACAGACCCAAAGCGCTTTACATATTGCCTCTCATTCACCCATTCATTCACCCATTCATACACCGACGGCGGCGCCGGGAGCAGCCGGGGTTAGGAGTCTTGCTCATGGACGCCTCGACACTTGGTCAGGTGGAACCGGGGATTGAACCACAACCTTCCGGTTTGTAGACAACCCACATGAACCACTGAGCCACTGCCGCCCCTGCATCAGAGATTAATCCGGAGCGGGGTAAAGTGAGCCGCAGCAGTGTGTTGACGAAGCACTAAAACTTTCCCTGATCACTCAATCCTGACACTATTGATTTCTATCCCATAATTCTACAGCTCTG